CGTGTGAATTAAAACACCAACACAGGCCGAATGATAATGACATCTTTCTAGTTTTCGATCGGTTACAATTATTCCGTCAGGTTAATCCGGTGAGACAGATGGGTTTCTAGTCCATACCCACGTGCCTCTTCAAATAGCTGAGGTGAACAGGTCTGTAGTCTTTTTCGGTCCTCGGGGACCTGGAGTAAAAGCAACTGCTACAGAAAATCGGCTCTCCTGAAGGTAGCCACTGTATGCGTGGCCAACCTCCGACTGTACGGTGACGCGGGAAATCCACCTGGACAGATTTCATTTGTAACCGTCCAGGGGAGATATGGTCAACGGAGTTCAAAGGAGAGAAGAGTCTGGCTCGATGTGTGGGTGAATCAGATTGAATCGATTCACAAGGGTTCTTTATCCTCGAACTGGATAGTTGTTGGAAGAAAGGGGAGCCAATGCTTCGAGGACGAGATCTTATGCAAGCAGCTGAAAAGGCTAGTCAGTCAGAAGAACCGCGTGGAACACTTGACGAGGCCTATCTTGACAGTACCATGCGCTTGTGAGGTTTCGTACTGGCTTGGTCCCTGTGTGTGTAACGTGGACAAACCGCGGAGATAGCTGTAGTTCCAGTGATGAGGAAGTATCCTCAAATGGCCTAGATGAGATGTGAACCTCGGAAACGGCACTGACAAAGTATGAGCCACCCCTGTACCAAAAAGAAGTAACCGACTTTTTCATAAAGGAAACTGCTCACAAGGTTGCTGAAAACTCTTCGACAGCCTACAACCGGTTTCACCCTTCTTGGGGCTCATCAGGTAGGGGCGCAGTCCCCGAGTTTCCATCAACCTTATGTTCTACTTGAACCCAACAAAGGCGAAACCGGTCGTGGGCTGTCAAACAGTTTTCAGCAACCTTGTGAGTAGTCTCCTTTATGAAAAAATACCGCGATATCTCGAATATTGTGCCAACTGAATCATGAGGTGGCCTGTGTGCAGTATATTCAGGTGTAGAATATCATAAACACGAGAAGTCTCTCGTGAAAACCAAACTGATTTGCAAATTAGTGTATTTCTCGAAGTAACCGAACTGGTTACAGATAGTAAAAGACTGTTTAGTGTCTTTCGTTCGCATCGCAAGCGAAGCGTGCGTAACGCTTGGCTTCTATCCGGAAAGCAATAGAATTTCACTTTGTCCAACTCACATACAAAACGTTACTATCCCCATTGAAACCAGTAACACATCAGACGGCCGAGGCGGAAGGCAAACATCAGGTGGTGATTGTGTGCATAAAAGTGGCGTAAACCGCTAAGATCATATCTCGAAGGTGAAATATGCACTCTAGCGCAATGGAACACTCATATTGGGGTAGTCCAAAAAAACGGAGTGTCACAGGACGTGTCTACACAGCGTTTAGTCCCGTACATCGCTACATCCCGCCCATGAGAGTGCGAGGGAGCGCAGGTGAGACTACTTCCTAAAGAGAAGGAAATAATTTGGTCCCCAATTTGTATGCTTGCTAATTTACTTCAGTTCAGTTCATCCGATATAAACCATGCACCGGTAACCGGAAAAAAAGTAGAGCGGGAGAGATATAGCCAACCATTGGAGGTGAAGGTACGATCAGTTGGTGCGGGGAACAGAGAAGCTACGCATTGAAGGTGATAGCCTTGATTCGCGAGCCTCATTGAGTGTGGGATTCAGCCATATCTGCTAGTATTTGATGAATTTAGTCCCCAGGTCCACATTCAGTGAGGTAGCAGCTGTCGACCCGACTGAATTTACTGATTAGTGCTTCCACACACCATTGCCAGGTAGTAAACTGTTCCATTCTCTGACGCCTCCACCCGTCATGGGGCTCTGCGAAGAGTGCTGCGCGGTGGACTATCCTCCGGCACATGCACGCGCCCATAAGCGGGTCGACCGTCCCCAAAAAGGCTGCTTATGAGAGGAAAACTTCTGCCCATAAGCGGGTCGACCGTCCCCAAAAAGGCTGCATATGCCTTGGAGAGTGGCAGTTTGTCTGCTGAACAAACGCGTCGACCTTTTTAAGTGCACCTGTTTGGCACGGAAACCCTATGGTTCAGAGCTTCAACCTCCAAAGAAAGCGCTCTATAAACGAGCACGATTTCGACTAGTTACGGGAGCGTTCGGAGTTAAAACTGTACAAAAGTCGGTTCCACAGCATTCAGTGTTATAAGCAGCCAAACGTTCAATCGTATTCTACTCGAAAACTGTCAGTGAACGTGCGTGTATGAAAACGAAACTGTACACAAAACACGGTGGTCGCGTGAATTGCGTATCGCACATCAAACTGGTTGGAATGTTGAATGCATGACCCTAGGACCGAACTTTTATCAAAGTCTTTGCACTTTTCCCAGATATCTAGACCGAGTTCCAACATGGAATCGAGAAATTCGGAACCCATAGGATACTAGTGTTCACTCCGACCGAGGGGTGGGGTAAACTTGAGTTATGAGGAAGGGATATTGGCAAAATCGGACAGAGGTAAAATTCGGAAATATACAACGTCACCTAGCCTATATCATGTGATCCACAGCTGAACAATGGCGTCCGTCGGGTTGACAGACCACTCGATCCACCTCAAAGACGGTTTGTCGTCCATCTGAATCATGCTAGATTTCAACTTGAATGAGAAGGCAATCCAATGAAGGTAGCGGAATCACGAAATGACAAAAACCGGTTGCGCGGACCGCACACCCTTCGAGAGGGCGTTATGGTGTAGGAAAGTGTCCCGAAAGAGCTGTTAGGTATAGATAGAATGGACAAGTGCAGACCGCATACGGGCAGTTGATCAGTTGATAGACTCATCTCCATAAAAAAGGCCAACAAACTGCCGTCATCGCAAACGTCAGTGTTCAACAGTGACAACTCTCTGCCGCAGGGACTTAATGCTAGCCTACCACAAACGTACCGACGTGGCGACAACTCGAAACGCTCATTCCGGCAGTTAGGATAAAAACTGACGGCACAACGGCGCTGACACAGACAAGCAGTCCTATCTTGCAGTGTCTCCAACCCTGCACTGTGGAAATCACGTGGACCCCGTCCTTGAGGACAAGGCTCTTCGACAATCGCTCAGATTTTTCGTAATCGGCTTGATTCCCTAACACAGCGTTCGAAAAGAGCACATATATGTTCGTGACCCTGAACTCAATTGAGCGGTCACATTCGGTGGTTTAGTTCAGCGATGAACTCAACTTGAGCAAACAGTAGTGGCGGCATACGTCAATTAATTCAACATCCCACTAACATCTGTACCCGATAACCGAAAAGAGCACACAACGTGCCAACATCTTCGGCCTAATCAACAGGTTCGTGGTTTCCAACCCGAAACATCCCACTGTACCATCGACTCGTGAAGTAGCCCCTGGGAAATGCCTATAGCGTTACTGGAGGGTGGGGATCTTTTAAATGTCAAGTATCTCACATTCTTGAGAAATAAGGCTAAATAGATGAGAAAAATCTGTAGCCTATGACACTAAGGATTTGGTGAAAGCAGACTGTACAACCGTTTCGAAGAACGAATGGTACCAAATTTCTTCAAAAACGGATAAACCCGGGACTGTTTTCCGCCCGTTCAAATGTGGTCGACGGTCTCGTTCGAGTGACGCGTCCAACAAAGTCTGAGCACTGTTCCTCGTGAACAACCCACACAGTTGCCCGAAACTTCGTCAATATGTGTCGCCGGATAGGATCTGCCACTATTTGGTCATGGCACGCAACAACACGCGCTGGTTTAGCTGACATGAGTACCACAAACCATCTAGATAATGGAGAGAACTGCAAACGACTAGCCTCCTATATCCATCAGTATTAACCAGTAGGACGAGAAAGGCCGTGGAATATTGACAATTCGTTTTTCATCTCAGAGGCCATATCTTTTAATCGTCCAGTTGAGCGGCACCCTTTCGGTGAGTGAACCCATGCAACCCAAGGAAAGTATGAGAGATGAGGTACTACCAAACTGCCCAAGACGAGGTAGGAGTGATCGAAAAGCTCGAAACATGGACCTGTTGGTCAGTGGTTTCGCGCGTTAACCGCTGATCCGAAGTAGTGGAACGGAGCCAGTCACATCAGTGGACAGTCAGACCTAGCCCCCATGGTCCTTTGCGCACACAAGTTGGACTAGTATCGAATTAAAACGATGACGCAAGCCTTTGGTCAGCAGTTTCAGTGAGCAGCTTCATTTTCCCTCAAAAGTACACTAAACTCCAACTAACTGAAGCTAAAACCGAACGTTTGTACAGATACAAGATTCCTCCTAAGCCTACCGTGGCCGCATCATAATCACCTGTCGAAATTCGGTCAGGTAGCCAACCGACATCTCAAATCCTATTCGTGAGTCTATCGCGTATCAGGACGTCAAGTATTCCTTTTAATATATACAAGCAGACTATCTCGGTGATTTCACCACATATATATCCCGGATTTTTCCCTTACATTCATTTTTCATTCGTTTAGCTGTAGAACCCTTTCGGTGCCTAACCGCCAGAAGGAAGCACGGGAGCTGGGTTATTGCCAGGTTGCCCAAGCCTAGACAGGGGAAGTCGAGAAGCAGAGGTCGGGTTCGAACTACGGACCTGCCGGTCAGTAAATTCGCGCTGAGCCAACTCGCCCCTTACACCAGACTGTGGAACACCGCCTGTGTGCTTTCACGGTCGTTCCGGCAAATGCTCTTTACAAATATGGAAAAGTTGTGCACCGATGACAATGGTATTGAGTTCGGGCCAAGCGTGTAGAACAATCAGTGGTGGGGCAAAGGGTCCTTTGCTTAGAAATCCAATAGAAACAGATCGCGTCTCACATACATAGAGCAAGTAATAATACTAAGAATAGTAGCCTAGCTATAACATCTTCGGTGCCTGGCTGCCACGCCAACCGAAGGAAGCACCGGACTGAGACACCTCCAGTTTGCCCAAGGAACCTCAGACAGAAACTATGGCTAGCTAGGAACCTGCCGAAAATTGCACCACCGCCCAACAGAAGCAAAAAGTGAACTATCCCAGAATAGGTCTAATGGTAGCGCTCAACCACAAATGTGGCACAGACTGTTGATTAAACTTTGACCTGACTTGGTCATCATGCGTGTTAGGACTGTGAGTAGAGACAGACAGACAGAGAGAGAGAGAGAGACAAGTGAGTAGTCGGAAAAGGCAAGCATAAGCACAAAATACATGATTCTGAGATTGTGGTCAGCGATGAGGAAAGAAAGAAAAATGGTTGGTGGATGTCCTGAAAGGTGAAGGTCAAAGTGGAAGGAGAACATCATCCAATAAGAGTTGGCTCAAAATAGCGTCGGGGAGCGAGGACCACCGTCGACCGTTTTAGTGAGATATGATCGACAAGTCAGATAGAGTGAGGATATGGTATGGAGAACAGAGACAAAATCATGGTAGACAACTGGACATCGTTCTGACCGCGGTCGACGACAACAACAACAACGAAGATCTAGAGTAAATCACTTGCAGCAGCGGAATGAATCTTATAGGCAACAAAAGAAAGACATTGATGCGCTGGTTGTGTAGAACCGTATTACTGACGGAGAGGGTTTTTTTTTGTTACTGGGTCAATGCGTGCTTGTGTACATGGTTGTATGACGCGACCAGCATGGCGTTTTTATTTTTCCTTGTGCAAACAAGAGTTTGAAAAGGATGGATAATGGACGGACCCCGGAGATCAGCCCGGAAAGACAACCACAGTGGTAGAGATTACAAAGGGTTCGACGAGCCCCATCGCAGACTGGTGGGGAGCTTGAAATAATACGGTTTGACAAGGGTTTGTATTAGAGACAGAGAGAGAAAACACGTCTGTTGTTTACCCAACAAAACAGACGACCCTGGATTGTAAGGTGAGTGTGCAAAAGGGATTGTTGGATCGGATTCGAGAAACAAAAAAATATATATATAAATCACGTACGAACATTGCCACCATTAGCATCACCGGATGGGCTAGGAATGAAGACAGAATTGCAAAACGGAGTTCATCACGCCACCACGTTGGAGATACAACAGTCCCCGTGTCCTGTACACAAGTTTTCTTTCGAATGAGAACAGCAACCAAATAACTAAATAAGTAATTGGATAAATAAATAAATTGTTAACGAGGTTCGATGTAGCCACCAGTGAACAGGTGGCTGAGTAGGACACGATGAGAGAAGTGGAACACAGTATACATGCAAAGCACAGGAGTGGAGTGTGATCGAAAGCCCTACGGAATACACACGTTGTACGTATGCTGGTTTAATATTCATAATACAAAAGAGAAAACCGTTGAATTTCTGAGGTGGAAGAAGAATCGAGTGAGTCTCCTTAGGAATGACACAGAACAGAACGTGATTGGTGACGGGGGTGGGGGGGGGTAGGTTGGAAGTGATGAGGCCTCATTCTCTGCACGCTTGGAAATCGAACAACCAACGTGACATCACAAAAACCACAGACCACCACAAAAGTAACCGAGTTCATGCTGAATTCTCTGTTCGTTGGCGCCGTGGAAACAAGGTTTGAATAAGAGCAACAGTCGAAAACCAAGTGCCTCAAGAAAATGAGAGAACATGACACTCAGTAGACTGGAACTCCGTCTCCTGCTCCGCCCAAATGCTCAGATCCCATCTTGGAACTGTGAGGATTAGAAGGTCGCTTCCGTGCAACCCTCGCCTTGTTGAGCGTCATCGAGTTTAGGTGATTAACCCCGGTATCCTCTTTGCCTGTCCGATGAGACTGCACTTTGGACGATTCCACATGTTCAATGTCAGTTGTCGTGGTTTCTTGGGGCAGTACCTGACTCATCCTTGCCTCTGCCAGCCGACGTTTCAGTAACCGCAACTTGTAGGAGATGAGGGTAAGTTGGGCTAGATCATCTTGGTATTTCGCGGTGCGTGTACGACCCAGTAAACTGTCCAACTCTTCCGCCAACCGCGCCACAGTTGGACTATCCCAACCATCGGTCCCAGCCGCATCCAAAACACGGTTGTGCAAGTTGCTTATTCCACGCCAAATGTCCGGAAATGAGTTGTACATGCGTAAATAGGTGGGGTAGGTTGACTGGAACTCCGCGCGATACAGCTCAACTTGTTCAGTCTTGGAAATTGTCGGGTATAACCTGTGGTACGGGAAGGATGAGTAAACAGTAGGTTGGGGATTGAATATTTAAGTAAATCTGAACCCACGAAAAAATCAGATCAAAAGGATGTGTGTCCAAAACCAGCAAAGTAAAACCAGTCGGTCCTGTTATCATAACATCAACGGTACTGAGAGAATAAGTCCAGATAGAAAAAAAGGAGTTCGCCAGGTAAAACCTACACGTAAAGCTACACGTTCTGAAAGGGTAAAACTGATCTCTTCTGTCTAGCTTAGTCTAGACAATTTGCATCGCTTGATACCCATTCTTTTGGGACGTCTGTATTATCTTCAGAGTTGTCACGGGGTCTGGAAGACCGGAACGTCGATTAGACGCCGGTGTAGTGGACCGGTTATGGGTTAGAAAAAGAGGGTCTCCTGCAAACACGTTTCAATTGTCTCCTCGCCAATGTCTCAAAGTGACATGAGCTTTGATACACGTTAGTGAACGGAACAGCAGCGGACGGATACATCAGGGATGCCGAGATCATATCATGGAGTTCAAATACCCATACAGCTGAGAATACGCAACACTCATGAGCTCCGCCAGGTGCGAAACTTGAAGGTTATGTCTTTACAGGAGATGAACCGCACCAGTGCAGCAAAAAGTTTATTCAAACAAGTTGTATGAAGAGTTTATTTTGCCTTCGTTCAGGGGCCTCAAAGTTCCCGCGAATTTCGAATTAATTCCAGTCTCATTTAAGAAAATCGCTACAAAACCTTTTTATTGTGACCACCAAAAAAATCAGACGGCAGGATAGCAACCTCTCAGTAACGGACGCTCACACTAGCAGCAGTCAGTATATTCAACGAACGGGATGTGTTTGAACACGTGAAATTCCTTGGGTCTCCAGTCCTCCCTCATTGGGGAACCGAACGTGCCACGATACTGTTGCAATGTTGTAACACTCCAGTGGATACTAGTACCTCCATCTTGGCACTGACACTATTGTAGTTCAAAGTTATAAATAAATAAATGAGTCTTCATAAAGGAAACTACTCACACACAAGCTGAAAACTCTTTGATGAAAACTCTTTATGAAAATATACTGCGATATCTTGAATATCGTGCCAACTGAAACACGAGGTGGCTTGTGTGCAGCACATTCAGTTGTAGAACATCATAAACGAGAGATTCAATTGAGCCTCCCGTGAAAACTAAATTGATTTGCAGATGAGTGTATTTCTCGAAAATAAATGAGTCGTTCTGCCTCATGGTTCGGCAGGGGATTCACACTTGCGAACTGCTCTTGCAGGACTGGATGGGCCCAAACCATAATCTTATGTTTGCGGACGAGGTAGGGGGCAAACTGGTTGGTCTAGCCAAAGATGACATTTCCATTCGGATTGGCTTTTGTGAACCTGCATCACCTGTGGTATGCAAGTGATACCAGCTTATCCATCAAGGGTCAAGTTTAGAGTGCTGCGGTGCGCTCCATATTATTGTACGGGTAAAAAAAACCTGGCCCGCTGGCTGAGAACGTCAGAAAACTTTCGGTGTTTGACCACTGATGCCTTCGGAGCATTGCCCGAGCCTGGTGGGAACCGCGGGAAAATAATGCTCAAGCAAGTCGAATGCAAGGAATAATTCGCCCACAAAAGATGAACTGCTCACACTTCAGTCTGCAACGGCTTGGTCATGGGCTTCGTTTACCAGTTGACCGACCTCCTCCAAGAGCTCTTTTCGCACAGCCACGAGTCAGGGGAGGTCCGACAATGACTTGGTAGGGACATATGGAAGCTATTGGCAGAGAACTCAGCTTCCTCGATGGGGACCCCGATGAGACATGGGACACATCAATGGTTAGATACATTGTCAGACATGATCCTTAATGGGGCTCGTGCATCTAAGCACGCATAGCTCTCCTCTCGATCTCCCCAAATGAAACGTCCATTGACACCCTTGTATTTACGCATCATTTATATCAGCGAACACTTCTAACGGGTAGTTATCTACCCCCTCCCCCCAAATCATCGATGAACGAAGCTGTGGCAGCTGTACACGCGGTTTTTACAGCTGATGATGATGACTACCTCGTAAGCCGATACGTTCGGGTACAGATTATAGATGGCGGGGAGTGAGAGGATTCGGATACAGAGCATTAAGTAAGGTGCGAAATTGTACCATTACACTGATCTGAAAAACAGGTATAGCTGCCTCCCGCTCCACTTGGATAGGTCATCTCGAGCGATGAATTTAGAGCGGGGCACAACGTGCATGAAGAGCGTTGTGGTGAAAGACGAGAAGGATTGTGAAATGGTCCACACGGAATCATAGAAAAGGCGCGTGATTGTTAAATGATTACACAGTGCGAAGATAAAGGTGGTTCATGTAGGGTGTAGACCGATGATCAGACCAGATTCCGGAATCAGAACACCAGCACACACACACACTTTATTGATCTTCAAGTGCATCCAGTGGCGACCATAACCCAGAAGCAGGTTGAGAGGCTAATCAGCACACTGCATCTGACAAATTTGCTCATCATGATAAGATCCAGCACCGCACAGGGAAACGTGAAGTACGCATTCATTGTATTTTTGCATCAAGGTTTTCTTTTTCAACTTGCTCCAGCAAAGCCTCCCGTTTACGAATAACTGAGCTTTCCGAATAATGAACCCCAAATGGGTGCTAAAAGTGACCCACTGTCACCCCGTGATATCGACACACACCGAATTCCAGACTATGTAAGTTGGTCACACAGGTTTGCCCTTGGTGTCACTTACAAGCCATAAGGATCATCAGTCCATTCTCAGTGTCAGAACCCGAGGAAAACATTGGAACTACAAGTAGATAGATTTAAGACCCATCTGGAAAGCTGTGCGCTCCAATCACTTAACTGTGGACTATGATTGAGGTGAGCAATACGCCCAGATTAACCTTATTTTACCGAGCCCCATGCAACTTGATAAGCGCTTGTGCGCATTAGCAGACACACGCACACACAAGTTACTCGTCACACCCTCAGGTTACCGCTGTTTCCACACACTAGTGGATCAGAGTTTCTAATTACTTGCTCCGGACAAAGCTTCCAGAAAGCCCCGACGACTACGCCTTGTGAATCAGGTGGTGTGGAAAGCCCATTCGGAAAGTGGCACTCAACCTTGGAGCTACTTGTCCAGAAATTCCCACCACTTTGCAATTAGCCGTCAGCAGTCCCAGGTCTGCTCGGCATGGTGAAAAGACACTCCCCGTATTGCGGATCCGATCCCCGTAAGTTTTGCTGGAAGAATCCACGGCTTGAACTGCCTCATGTCTCCAAAACACCCATTTCAAAACACTCAGGACAGGCTCAGTTGACTCAAAATTTGACATTTAAATGAATGAGGAGATCGGCTATAGCAGGCAGAAGTCAACACGAATGGGAAAAGGCACTGTAGCCAACTTAGTCAGCTATTAATAAACCGGCGCCTTAGAGACAAAGGCATATAGATGAGTCAAAGAAGGACACACTGCTGAATAGGTGAGTGTGTTCTGCATTGGGGACACTAGATCGCATAAACAATAGGACCGGCATCCAAATAGCAATCATGGGTGACGTACGAAGAAGCCTACATAGCGCATCGCCTGATTTCGAGGCTCATCAGTGTGCTCTTCGGTAGGGTCCAGCTCACTCCAGCCAATATAAACCATGCATCGAGATGAACCATCATACAGGGGAAGGGAGTGACTGAAATTCGAACCTTTTAGAATCGGTCGGATAGCAACATGTGACAGTATTCGCGCTGCACATTTGCTCCGAGAAAACCACACGAATGAGTCGTTTATTCGAGTCGACAAATGAAGTACCGGGCCTAATCAGTGCAAATGGCTAAATATAAGCAAAGCACATGAAATTTCTGAGTACCACCGATACAATGCTTCAGTTGAAATCGGACCCCGTGGTTGAACAAGGAAGCTTATCGTTTTTGAACTGCACACGAAGGGGTGCAACTGGAAAACGTGCATGAGGCCGCCGTTTTCAAAGAGTTTACACAACGAAAAAAAACATAATAACAATTGTAGACACAAAAGACGAAATCCTTAAATCACCGCGAAGAATATTCAGGTAAATGGAACAGGGGACAAAACACTAGGAAGCCACACGCACCGTTCAATCTCCGACATCTGAGGTGAGAGTTCGACAGACCAGGAATGCTCGAACCCGACGGCAGGTGCATTGGTCGAGTCCATCCGAGGTTTGGTTGTTGGAGGCTCACTAAGATCTTGAAGAACGAGGTGCCAAAGAGGGGCAGTGGTAAGGTGTGATAGTAACACCCCAACATTGATAAGGACAGAAATTAGCGAAAAACTGAGCGTTGGTCTATCAGGCAACGAATAACCGTAAAGTACACCTAGTGCACAAAGTACACCCGGCCGTGGGATAGGTGTACAAAGAGACGGTTAGGTCATGCTCAACTAGACTCGGGCCAGAGTCTGAATAGTTCAACACATCAAACACAGCCATGGTAACCGGTCAACACATCCATGACTGAGTACAGAAAGAGCGTCCAAATAGGAAAACTGAGTGAAGAATGGCAACGCATAGAAAGTAAAATGAAGTAGTAGCCCTTTAACTAAGAGAGAGTAAAAGACAATCGAAGCTACAGTGGATCATAACACCTGTTCACAATGACGCCAGCGGATGACAACATGAATAGGCTGACATGGTGCATTCATTTTGCACGGAAATGCGAAACAAGTGGAGTCCAACCCAAGGCGAAACACATGCAGTTGGATTTGGAGATGACACATCACTGAATGCCAGCGAAAGAGGCATAGCACCCAAGGACTGAGCTGTTGCCGGTTGTCTTCGGGGCCGCACAGTGCACCGAACTCACGTGCCAACACTATGATATGTTGGTCGCTACTAAGGTAAAGTGCCAAGGTAAGCATTCGTGGATGAAAGTGTCTACGCGAATCGACAAAATTTTGAGATGAAGGCAACTATTGGTAGCCGTCAGATACCGGATCAGTCCACTCGAGCCTCTTAGACAGAAGCTATATTTGGAATTTGGCATGACCAGTCTTATTAATAATTTAGTCGGCACAAGTTGTAAAGAGGGATCCTGCTTGATTACAACGCCTTTAAGATTACCCTCTCTCACCAGTCACCAAGGACTATTCTTCTCGCGGAGCGGACAAGTTTAGTTGCCCAACCACAGACAGGATCAAGCGAAAAGTAAATGGTGGATTTGAGCAACAGATCTCCACCGAGGATCCAGTACCTAAACCCTTGGGCTCATTTGTTGTACACTATTGTTACAATATCCAACGCTTCACACAAACTAGACCACAATGGGGAACGGGGTATGCGGCCTCTTCCTTCGAAGGTGCTTCTTTGGGCTGATTACTATACACAATTACCTATACCAATTACTTTGGCAGAGACCAGATCACGAACTAAGGTTAGCTGACGAAAATCGATCTNGTGCAATCAAAAACCTCAGAAAAACTGTGAGACATAAAGGGATGGTGAACGCTAGCCATGTGCATACTACAACCTATGACACTCAGCAGCAGCACAGCCTAGGCTGAGGTTCAAAAATGATCGAATTCTGTTTGACAGTTGACGCGAATAGTGAACAATTCGATTACGAACAAGCAACACGGCCGTTGTCAACTTGTTATGGGTGGGCGGGGACGCCACCGACAGTCGAACACAATGCTTGAAACACAGCGCCGAGTCGTGTCGCCGAATAATAAAGGAAGCCTTAAAAAAATCAGTCAGTATCATTGACCACAACACTACCTACCGCCCCCACAAACTATGTAATATTTCAACGAAGGCTGCGCACCCCGCACAAAATGTGAAATGCACATTAACCGATGACGACAATTTTAAGGCTTACCGGACAGTGGGTAAGTCTCGTGAAGCGGTTCGACAGGATGATCGGTAACCATATCCAAATCGCACGTTACAGACAGAGGTAGTATGGGTCGTGTGCGACCGGTACGATCGATGAAACAGCCATTAGTATCCAGTCTTCCCGGTCCCGACGAGAATGGATTCGCAGCGGCTGTGGTGCCATCGGTTGAGCCACCGGAGCTGACGTTGGAGCAAGGCGTGTGGGAGGCGCTTTCGCCCTCACTCCCAATGCCACCACCGCCACCGCCGCCTGTACCACCACCCACACTGAGGGGACAGAACTGGGACGGGCGCGAATGCAAGTACAGGCTAGGATGGAGGGAATCGTGATGTAGACTAGAAGACGGAGAAAGAGAACGTGACTGATCACCGGTTGGATTAAATCGCGTGCTGATGTCCGAATGACTCTGGCGAACCGAAGTCGGGAGAGTGGCATCTACACTAGTTGCCTGTGACGGCGTGTTGGCATTAGCCGCAGCGCGCACTTTAGATGCGGCAGCATGAATGTTTTGGGATTTGGATGCCTTTACAATGGTGTTGAATTCCGGGTCGTTGGAGTGAGGCAGCGGGTTGGACAGGTTATCGGCACGGGCTCGTTTGGGAGGAGAAATGCGAATATCGGTTACTGGGGAGATCGTGGACGGGACGGCAGTCCTGGTTGAAGCGATGGGATTGCTTTGTTGGGATTCTGTAAGTGGCAGAGTGACAGGCCGCGCAGGTTTGTCGGATGACGTACACACACCGGCGACTGGACTAGTGTGAGATTCTGAAGGTGTCCGGTGGGAGTTTAAACGTCTGTGGCGCTGGAAAGGAAGGAAATAATGGTAGGTAACAAAACTGAAAATTAAATAAAACCAGTGATTGCACTAACAAACGATAAAATGAGCTGCAATAGTGTGGGCTGAAAGAAAAGACAGACAGGAACTGGACGTCGTTGAGCTGTCAGGAGGCTGTATGGTCACCCGGCCAAACGCCCAAAGATGTAATTCCAAATCTCCCAACAAACTATGGGTCTAAGATCCACACGACGGAATGTTGTGTCTTTCGGTTCTGTTGCTCGACGTATATTGCATCCAATGTCGTGTGGTTTTCGGTAAAAATCACGCAAAGGTTGCAAAGGAAGATGTGCTTTTATTAAAATCCAAAATGGAACTACAGTGGCTGTACATGGGGGTTCTTAAGTGGGCAAGATACTCAAGTGGTTAGATCGTGAATTTACTGACCGGAAGGCCCGTGGTTCGAAACCTACCTCTGCCTCTCGACTTCCCCTGTCAAGGCTTGGGCAACCTGGCGGTACCCCAGGCCTCGTGCAACCTTCGAGTGGCTGGGCAGCTAGGCACCGGAAGGTGTAGGAAAAGTGGAGATGCCAGGGTTGGGTTGGGCTTCAATGCCTATTTGGTACGATTATTAGGTAGTGGCTGTTGGTGTAAGTCCGAACATATGCTACGAGATCGGGAACACTGCATTAGACTTGCGCCAACGATGACATTCAATGACACATTCTAGGTTCATGTTAATTGAACGTTATTAAATGTCCAGCGCACACAATGAAGACGATCGATAAAAATTAACAGACAAACAGAACTGGAACTGATACGTTTTGACCGTTTAGTCAGCTTCACCAAAGTTGTTTTCTTGGTGAAAACAGTCTATAGTCGCCTGAAGCAACGATATACGAACTACTACTTTCGCCCAGTAGGATCATGTGAGTTCCGTTGAAACCGTCCGCTGTCAACGGGGTCAAAAATTTTGCAATAGGAATGTGGAATGTTTGATATACGATAGCTAGTTAAATAGTATAGGTGCTAACCTCTCGAAGCTCCTGCTCACTAGCACGCCATTGGTGAAGCAACTCAGGGCTGACGCCAATGCGCGATGCGACCTCCCTCTCTTCAACTCCACTGGAAAGTAGGTTGAGAGCTGCAATCTTTCGGCTTAACGGATGAGGGGCTAGGGGCGCACTGGCTCGTGTTGGGCGTCGGGCAAATTGATCCTCCGGCTCGCCCGAACAAGAAGAAGGGGGATTAACCGGGGATGGGGTGTGAGACCTGTTAGCCGGAGGAGAATCGGTGTAGGAAGGGGAGGGAACCCGCTTGGACTCCTGTGGAAAGTTTGAATGAAACATTGCTCTTAAAAACAAACAGATCACAAATAGGTAGAGGGCAAGTTTTTCTCATGGGAAGTAAGCAGCATGAAGTGTGTGAACTAGGATTTTAACAAAGTCCTAAGCACGCTCCAGTGGAATGTTCTTAACGCCAGAACGGCAATATCAGGGCGTGCACATGTTGCAATATTCAAGTCGAGTATAGGACAATCACATTTGTATCAAATGACATGTGACAGAGCGGATTAACTGCTTAGATAAGGTATAGAAAACGAGTTCAAAATCCAAACAGTATCAGTCGTTTCAGACGATCACCATAATCTCCAGGTCACGTGATTACAAGACATGAGTAATAATGGCAAATTCGGAAGTAGGTAATGCGATATTCACTAACTGAATATGTCGTTCAGTCAGATTATCCTAGTCTACACGGGATAAATCAAGTACACCGGGCGTTGATGCCAGCTGAATATTGATAATGTTGTTTATTTATTCTGTAATACGCACTCAGAAGTGGTAATCAAGAATGTATGGGCTTCAGAAGTAACCAGATGTTGGTAGAACAGATCATATCCATTCCGAAAAAAGGCGTCACGCGAGATCTTTTAGGTTTCCTGTAGGTCACCTGCCGCCCGTTACCACTGATCTGATAATAGGAAAGCGAGCATTCAAGACAATCAACTACCATGCCACTCCGGCGAGAAAGGTTAAGCGTTTCTTAAATCCCGGCCTATCCAGCTATTGACCAAGATATGACTGTTGGCCTCGCTACCATCCACGCAGTAAAACCATAGGGTTATACAGCAAACCTTGTGCCTTTTGTGAATACAATGTACAGACGGAACTCAGCATGGTAAACCAGAATCGGCGGAGAATATTGCGGTACCTTGAGTGACAATATTCGGCTCCTCTCCGTAGCAGTGTACCCAGGCCATTGTGGATCGAGTTCACCAACGACAGAAGGTGAAAGGGCATAGGCTGAACNCCGACCAACTTGGGGAGCAGACCATCTAGCTGATCCTTCTGCACCTGAGATAAGCCGTCACGTTGCAAACGAAGCAACAGCTCTGCCCTTCCGTAGGGACGTAAAGCCAGAATATGGATAACACGCTCCCTGGTGGGAATAAAGAAAAAGCGGAAAATAAATAGTGCAGTAGTCACCCCGGTTTCTCTCCTGTGACAATAGGTAATTTGGTAGACTAGTACGGAAAATAAAAAAATGCTGTTTACACCACACGCGTTAGCTATCAGGTGTAGGCTCAAAAACCTCTACAATCACAGCTTCGAACAGACCCCTCTAGACAGAGTGTTTCTCAGAAGCGGACGAATATTACCAATCACGGCCCCTGGAAGTAAACAAGTTATCATGAGCGCTTTGTTCCTATTTGGCTGCTTTAGTGTGTCTGGACTGTGATAAAGAGGTCTCTGGGAATGAGTCCATCCCAAAAAAAGTGCATAACTCCCATACACAAGATGCACAGAAACGAGCTATGATGTGATATTTCATTGTGAAATACCCGACTTAAAGCGACCCCCTTGACGTTGTAATCAATCTTCTCCGCTGCCGTGATCCTGCGGACCCCACTAGCTGGTCGCCACTGTTTAAGCTTGCCAAGAACCTCAACCGGGAACAATCCGACGAACTGTCTTCGAACTGCGGAAAACCATATTACGAGGTAGTTACGAGCTGAGGACGTATAGTGCGCTTAGACAGGGATGTAAGAACATAAACGTGTTCCCCCCGGCATGCCATCCCCTGAGTAAGGATGGGGAGCTCAGACTGAGGAAGATAGCTTCTGTCGGGATCAGTCACGACTGTTTCGGTCAGTGGAAGGATATGGATCGGAAGGTCTGTGGTTCGAACCCGACCTCCACATCTCGACTTCCTCTGTTTGGCTTGGACAACGTGGCAGTATCGTAGCCCTCGTGCTTCCCCTGGGTGGCATGGCAGGTAGGCACCGAAAGGGTTCTTTTTTTGGTCAGTGAGAAATGCAGGTATCGTGATTTTGTCATCATCATCATCATCAACGACAGCATGACATCAGTGCTCAACACCAATGCTTCACTGCCGTACAGCCATGACTTATTTGAAAGCCTTATTGTAAAGAAAAGAATAAAGGTGGACGGGGAAGGGACTTAGTGCTAGCTTAACACAATCATTACGAGGTGCCTACACCACCAGACATTCATTCATTGGTGACCAATTGGGACCTGACGCCCACGACAGGTACAACGGAAATCTCTTCAGTCATGTGAACATCAACTGTTTATGGTTCGTATTAAACATAAGCACTCACACCATGACATCTGGAGGCCATCTAATGCGAACCACTCGTGGGTTATCTCGGGTTATCTGGAAATCAGCTACCAGCACAGGGATTCGATAAAAGATTTTCAATCAGTTTGGGATACACCACTTGAATTTGACAACTCTATTGTACGAGTATGCATAAAGCGTTCAGCTGTAGCACCCTTCCGGTGCCTAGCTGCCATGCAACCCGAAGGAAGCACGAGGGCTGGGATACTGCCAGGTTGCCCAAGCCTAGACAGGGGAAGTCGAGTGGCGGAGGTCGGATTCGAACCGCGGACCTTCAGGTTAGTAACCCGCGCTCTAACCACTTCGGCCATCTCGCCCTTACGAGTATGCATAACAATTCGCTGTCCATCGGGAATACACCGGCTGATGCATTGAGTTCGCCACCTGTAGGGTGTCTCTTGCATGACAACATCGAGTGGAGTCGGCTGAATAACTTCCATAAGAATAGCGCACGACAGCGATATTTGGATGACGATCGGAAGGGGAAAGAAGCGATGAGCATGGACAGCAGGCCGTTGTTGGCCCTTATAAGCCCCAATGAACAATAGATTTCGCCACGAACAGCAGTTGTCATTAATGCCAGCAACGATTATGATGTTGGGCGTAGGTTCAAGAAATGGGAAAAGTTTTTGCACGGGAAAAGAGTGACACTCTATTCTAGCTAGCACATGGTAGTGAGGAGAACTCCAAAATCGATGGGACATCAGTTTCTTCACAGAAACGTCGCCTCGAATGATGGACTGAACACTTTGAAGGACAGTTGGGGCAACCCACAAAAACTCAACCGCTGGAAGGGCCATATGAATCTGAATGAAATGTGGACAACAGAAGTTCACTGTGAAAGTTCATGGCTTCAGCGCATTTGGTTGAAGTGACTTGCACTTTGTGCTCTCCAAGAAAGATGGCGAATCCTTTGTTTATAGGTTGACGAATTTCTTCCAAATTATCTAGGATGAAGAGAAAATGCCGAGAAAAGTGGGCGCTTCGCCGGAAGCATCAATTTGGCTGTCAACCGCTGCCGCGGTTAAATTTGTCGTACTTAATAGGTCAGAAACATGGCGCTGCGCACAGTCTCAGCATGCTTGACAATCGGAATGATCTGATGGGACATTAGACGAATGTTGATGCAGACCAGACCGCGTTCAGAAAAGGTAACTCGCCCTCGATAGATCATCTGGTCATATCTCCCCGGATGGGTAATCCGGGGAGAGAAAAGAATGGTTAGGGACCCTAGCATCGCAGGAGGGCTACTTCCTTTCAGTGGACTATCAAAATTCACGCGCCATTCAACAGTATGCGTGGTCCCAACGAGTCGCACTACAGGAGTCCAGCAAAACTCCTCTTCCAGATGGTCGGCCCACCTTTCCGGGTGGTGAGCAAATTGTTGGTGCTTTTTTTCCTGACAGTTGCCACCCTGAAATAACTTTTTCACCGCATGGGTGCCACGTCACCCAGATGGAACTCAAGGTGAGATGTGGGGGGCGAGATGGCTCAGTGGTAAGACCGGAAGGTCAATGGTTCGAACCCGAGCTCTGCATCTCGTCATCTCATGTCTAGGCTTGGGCAACCTGGCAATATCCCAGCACTCGTGCTTCCTTCGGGTGGCATGGTAGCTAGGCACCGAAAGGGTGTTACAACTGAACGATTACTAAAGGGAGATACCGCCAGTATCCTCGCACCTAAACAAGAGCAATTAGCCATGATTAAGTGCAAACCACGGATCCTCCGTTCAGTAGCTTGGCGCCATAACCACTGAGTTACCGCGAACTCCATTGTCCATGGGCCTACTACATTATGGCGTTGGTTGCAATGGCAATTCTTCAAAGTCGACGACTGGTCTGTTCCAACAATATATCATGGTTGGATTCGAATTGCGTAACCCGCAAGGCACGGAAGGTTTGAACTGTATATCGGCAGATGACAGCCAAACGGTTCAAGCGGACATAGTTCGCTTTTGAACTACGAAACGTGTATATGAGTTAGGCGGTTCTGGCGGCCATTGTCTGAGGTCCCTGCACATATAAATTCTACAGTGGCCAACTCACCTGCGGCTTTCTTTAACTCCAGTAGCGATGGAATCTTGACGCCTGTCTGAACAAGCAGTCTTGAAGCCAGCGCAACCGGTGAGGTTGTATCACTAGACGACTTGTCACGCAGAATACTTTAGCGTCTGGAGTATGGTGCTCCAATCATGCATGTGCGGATAGTCGAAGGCAATCTGCTACATTCGGCACAAAGTGGCAATGTTTCACATCTACACAACAGTACGAATTGCAATGTGACACCGCAGTGGACCCACCAACAGGCTAATAGCATGACTCCCGTTGTGACACGACACCTGGTGTCCCTGATTCTTCACCTCGAGACCTCGACCAGTGAGCACCAAATGAGATTTCGACTGTGTGAGAGCTGCATTGACCATATCTTGTTTGCTCAGTAGATGCCATGAGATCGACCTAATCCGACCCTAATATTCACATACTTTGGAGGGTGTGGTGATACGGTTTCCTTAGAGCCACTAACACGGAATGGTGTCCAGCAATTAGGTGCACTCTCTCCATTCTGGTTCGATTTCATCACCGAGGAATTTAATGAGCCGGACGCTGGGCTTTAAAATCCCGGTGTACAAATTGTCGCTAGTGGTTTGGATTGAGATGTTGTCCTGATATTTGAGGACGAACACAACGTACAGGCGGAGTATTGAATAAACTGATCGCCACCATACCAATTCTAGCATGCGTTTCGCACCTACAAAGTGCGCAGGAATGCCCCAGAATATGCAGTCACTGGATATGCCGCATGCACTTCAAGCATACGCGCCGGTGATTTTCGGGAAAGTGTGACATATCTTCGTAGCTGCTTGAAAAGTCAGTGCCCGAATCACATTCGCCAATGTGTCAATTGTGGCATTTCAAATATTGAGTATATGAGGCTACAGCCGTGCTGATGTAGGGTTGCAATACGGAGTCTCTGAAAGTAGATGATTTGTGGGGTTCCCAGGTTTTTTACCACCGATTTCTCAGAAGCGCTGGCCTCGGATGACGTCGACTAATTCGTAACAAAGTAGGGGGAAGGCGGGTAGTTGAATATGTAGCAGGTAATCCAGTTGCGGAAAACATCCAGCACCAACCGCGCTGGCTCGATTACGTGCAACGTATTGGAACGACGGCTACCAAAACTATTATTGATCGTGGAAACAAGTAGCCAAAGTGCTACTAAAAGCCAGGATTTCTGCCCGCAGTCCGATCCACTCAACCTCATCCAAACATTAGTTTTGCTAGAAGTCCGGCGACAGATTGCTCCTGAACGCGCCCATAACCCAACTCGAATGAGTAGTCATGTAGATACTGGTATATGAGAAATTCCGGGAACGTTCGCGGGTTTTTCCATTTGATTCATTTGGCTGATCATCGGAAGCCTCTTGTCAGCAAAATCGTGCTCTAACACCATCTCATCCCACTTGTTATTCCTCTGCAGACGCCAGTTGTAAACGCACCATTCAGGCACCCAAAATGTGACTGACCGGCCTTACGTGTCCAGGGGACTGAATAAGTAGGCACTAAATAACTTTAGGCACACCGAAAACTTGCTCCAGCTTAGGCCACTCGAAAATCTTTCACAAATGAAGCACCACTGACAATAATCAGCAACGGTTCCGGCGGTCATCAACTGTTATTCACTCGGACATCCTATCTATAATGGAGCTCTGGAAGGTAAGCAGAGTCTCCAGCGTCTTCGGAGACACCCTCAGGTTGACCATGAAGAACTGTTATTCTAGTGGCTAGATAATTCACAGAACTGCGTAATTTGATTAGACGTTGCACCCATCACTACGCTCCACTTATCGCCCTAAAAACGCCCGAACGATGTCATCTCGACTGGTGAACAATGTCATCTGCATTTGCAGATCGCCAGGGTTTTCGCTTGGAGAGACCAAAACACCGGGAGTTCGGAGACATGGCGAAATTCGCCTCAGTACTTCATAAATGACGAACTTAAACGTTACGGACATCCTCGTGGGACACAACGCTTGTAAGAGGGCTTTTGAAGAACTTCCCATAGATTCTCACACGTCCACAATTGCGCGCATACAAACAGCACATGATATTAATGAAATTGTGGGGCATCTCCTGCTGTGCAAACGTGTCATTGTCACCATCGTTAACATCATCAGAACAGCCACACGAGTGTTGATACTGATGCTTCACCGCCGTACAACGCAGCACCGACCCGATCGAAATCCCACTTGATAGTCATGGGTCAAGGAATCATGTGCCGTTGTAATATGTACGGCAGTGAAGCATCAGTGACCCCAGAAGCCTTGTTACAACGGGAGTAAAACCGATCCTCCTTTTTGAAGACGATCACTATCGTGAGAGATAGTCTTTTTATCCTAGATAGAGGCAAATAGGCTAGACATACATTGTTTGAAGTCACCGGCGTCCTTAAACTGAGCGAGTGAAAGTTAGTCCCAGGAGCACGATGACGCTTGAGTAGAGATATACACTGGGATACATCTGAAGCTGAAGAGTGCCCTACGTTCACAACCCATCTTTCTGTTCACGACCGGCATTCAGGGATTTGAGATGGCAAGTGGTCGACTGAATTGTCATTCGAAGTACTGTGTCCAACGGTCCAAACACTCTTTTACTGCATATCAGAGAATTCTTTTTGTTCCAAAGTTTCGCTGACAGGAGACTATCCAGGGCCACGCGTGAGATCCGGGGCTTAAATGTAGTTGGTTACGCCATTCCACAATCAAAGTCCCGGACACCTCGCAGAGTTGCGGATAGTAGTTTCCAGTAAGTCAGTATCGAAAGACGCACTGTCCGAAAGGGGCAAGATGGCTGTGGTTAGAGCTTGAATTTACTGACCCGAAGGTCCGTGGTTCGAACCCGACCTCTACCTTTCGACTTCCCCTGTTTATGCTCAGGAAACCTGGCATTATCCCAGCCCTCATGCTTCCTTCGGGTGGCATGGCAACAAGACACCAAAAGTATGTTACAGCTGAACCATTTGGACTTTTTTTCCAAAAAAACCTTCAGTGGGTGGTTTTCATGGGCTTGCTTCTCGATGGCCTGGTGAGGTGTGTGCATCTGGAGCACCCCGAAAAATGCAACTAGAGGCAACAAGTGCCTGATCCGAACCCATGTGGGTTTTTCGGAACGGCCTACAACTGGTAACACTCGCACCATGTATAGCTGGCGACGGTGTGCTGTTTGTTGAAGGTTGGCTCGCCTACAGGGGACACATGACCAAGCGGCTTTGGTCGTTTCTGAAGTTAGTGGTGCGAAGGTCTATGGTAAGCTCCGATCTTTCACCGTTTATGTACGTTTCGATTCCAGCACAAGGCGACCACACAAGAGTCTCAGAAGCCCTTAACCTGCCATAATAAGGCGCCGTAAAACTGTCATTGACGGTAATGGAGCTAGTCTCCTAGGACGTAAACAGATTTACTGAACAGGCGATGATTGTCAGCGTGTTCACGGAATACTCTCACAGACGATGCTGAATGAAACACACAGAGGAGAGTATCATCTTGTCCCTGGCATACTCTTTGTAATCACAAAGTGCAAGGCCATACCTCTGGACATGTAGTCACTGAACACGCCATTTACAATCCATGGAGAGATACTCGAAGTTGTGGAGCGTTTAAGGCATCTTAAGTTGCTTTAGTTCCAATCGTAGTTGGCCGGATGAGGTGAACGCACGGATCTCCCAGGCTCGGGTGGCGTCTGTTAATTTGAAACACCTATGACTCTAAAGCGGTATATCCATGAATTTCAAGGTACATGTGTACGGGCTGTTTTGTTGTATGGCGGTTAAATGTGGGCTCTTCGGGCAGCAGAACTGAGACGCCTTAAACTCTTCGACCACTGTTGTCACATAGCCATAGCTCGTGTAGGCCTGTCAGCGAATTCGAAACGAGAATCAAGAGGCGACGACTTCCATCGGGGAATGTGTTCATCACTAGAATTTGCGTTGGCCAAGCCATGTATTGCACATGCCGAACTATCGACCGCCGTTTGCTGGTGCAAGAGAGAAATGGTCAACTTTTGACCCGGCAGAGAGTCAAGGTGAAAGCGATTACGAGAAGTCTGGTTGCGACCGGTGCGACCCGCCATCTAAGATGAGGACCGCGTGATCCACCACATGCCGGGTTGGAGAAGCCGCAAGATATGATGTCAGCGGCGTTCTTGTATCCTGTCTCTGTCCAGACCGCCTGACTCAGTGCCTTGAGGTGTAGACAACTGGGAATGATTGTGGTGAGCTAGCACTAAATTTCTTCCACTTTTATGGTTTTCTTCACAATAAGACTTTCGCACAAGTTATAGTTGCACGGCAGTGAGGTATCAGTGTTGAACACTGATGTTACGCTGTCTATGAAGATAAGAAGATAACCATTCATAACAGATAACTTTTCGAGCAGACACTTAAGCTCGGTGACTTAGAACAATACCAAGCCCAGTAGAGCCAGCTGCATCGTACCTATGGATCATCAGGGGCACGAAACCGGAAGCGAGCGGAAATGGGGGGGGGGGTTAACAAGCGCACTTGGGTCATGAATTCTCGTTTCAAAGAGATGGCACACATCAATACAAAGCAAATCCACAGTAGATGCAAAAGCAGCTTGTTAACTACCTTGTTCCAGTGTAAAAGGCAGTCAGCTGAACTGATAGTCGAGTTAAAAGTAGACGTTGCGCTTCCTGTCAGTGGAAGGCGAACGGATCTGTAAGTCCTTAAGAATGGACCTAGGGGGACATCGCTGACAGTCACATAAGGAGGAAAGGAAGAATATTTGGGAGTAAAAGGAAGGCGTCAACAGTAACCTGTTTCAGTCCACCACTCATTTGTATGCAGCAAGTAAGGCTACCCAGCTGATGAGACGAGATTATCACCATCATTGACAGCAATACACCAGTACTGCAAACTGGCGCTTGACTGTCATGCTTACATGAAGCCTTAGGAAAGAAAGCAAGGAAAACTGAACATCATTCACAGTCGTGTGACTCATAGTTTTAGGTGGACTGGGATAGTACCCAGAGCGCCCATACAGGACGCTTAAGGTACTCGACCAAAGCGTTTGGCTTGAAAACCTGACCGAGAGACAATGGTGGTTGGTGTACAGATATTTTTAAAGATTAAGTCGCCAGATATGATCCAAGCACTAGTATGGGGAACCAAGATAATGTGTTCGTCAGACTGGCATGAGTTCCAAAGGTACAATTCCCAGTAAAGCTCAGTGGGTCATGGAGGTACACAGAGTCTCACCACGCGATAAGGTCCAGTCTCCTGATGACGGCGCCTTCAAGCATCTGATCTCCGACGTCTAAAAAACAATGCTGGTGTGGGTTGACGTCACTGAAGTTGCGGTAAGATTAGCAGAACGTTCGAATGCTTACTTCATTGCATCTAGGATCAAAAACTGCAGCGGTTTAGTCATGCGCGGAATTCCGTACCGGATTCCGGGTGCAACAGGCCGACGTGTGCGATCTATGGTTCAATCGAGGGAAGTGTTAGGAAAAACTTGAGTGACGCGAGTTCGACCTGCCTTCCATGATGCCAAAGAAGCGATGCCAGTACCAATTGCGCCATCCGTCCAGATTGTCTGAGGATAGCTGTAGGTATCCCGTATGACTAACACTAAACCGTCTCACTCTCTTATCCTCATGCATCACAGAATTTTCCAACAAGTACATTTAGTTGGAAGGTAATGAAGCTCAAGTGGTCCAGCACCGTGTAGCTTCAGTGAAAATGGCTGCCTTTTTCCCAAGGGCGGATACCGCAGATAGAATGGATACCAAAAAACTCGACCGTATAGCAGAGAATATAGCTGGGACACTTTCGGAGCGTGGCTGTCATACAACCCGAAGCCCCGCAGTATCCCCTCGTTCTGCCTTCGGGTTGTCAATGACAGCATGTACAACCATTCTGTCATTGACAACCCGAAGGCAGAACGAGGGGATACTGCGGGGCTGCGCAAGCCCAAACAAGGGCACCAAGAGACCAAGGTTGACTTGGAACAACGGATATTCCAAACAGCTTCATGACCTAGCCAGTAAGCTTACTCGGTCATTGGTTGACTGTACTAGTGTTTTCGGTTGACTTCCACGGCAGTAACGCCCACCTTGACGGGTGCTTGTGCTTAAGGATGTCCTCACCAATTAATTGTGGGCCTTACGAAAGGCATGCCGCAGAGATTTTGCTGGATGTGGATATGTCAAATAGCTATTTAGAGACTACCTCAACAGAAACCGATTCCCGAATCAGCCTCGGGTAACAATGGTTGGAATTTTTCAAACTAGCTAGTAAACAATCAGCAGTCGTTCAGTGTTGTTGTCGCACCGCAAAACCCGAATACGGCTAACCACTCATTATACCCACTCACTCAAGCAAATGCAACCACAGCCCAGAGGCAAAAATCTAACATGTACCGGAGGCTGTGGGAGCAAATATCACAGGAACCATCTTTTGAGGTGCGAGCAGATGCAGTCAGAGAGGTAACATACGAGAAGGCACAGTGTACCATCTCGTTTGTATCAGTGTGAAAGTGAAAACCACTGCCGAGGTGCCCAAAGTTACATACAGCGATTGACATGTCGACCACAGTTGAGGTTGGAATAAGATGAACAGACTGGCGGCCCAACAGGTTGGTTAACCAAGAAGGCGCTACTAACTGGGTAGTATATGGGTATATGGAAAAAGTCGGGCAGGGATGAAATGTAGAGAGCCCATCGTTTAGCTGTAACACCCCTCCGGTGCCTAGCTGCCATGCCACCCGAAGGAAGCACGAGGGCTGGGATACTGCCAAGTTGTCCAAGCTTAGACAGTAGAAAAGAGAGGCAGAGGTCGGGTTCGAACCACGGACCTTCCGGTCAGTAAATTCGCGCTCTAACTACTTGGGCCATCTCGTCCCCGTTCAAGATAAAAGCGCGAATTCAGTCAAACGCCAATCTCTGCCCTCTACGATGAAGGTTAACGTTCAATATTGTGAAACTACGTCTCAGATTTTCAAACGGACATGGAGAGGAGGCGAAACGTGACAGTACTATATCGTCAACTTTATCCAGTTGGCATGACAGCAACATGCGGGTCGAAGTTCCAAAGTATAGGTGGTAAGACTATCCAGTATCGTCTTGATTGTGACCCATTAAATACGGAACACCTAACCAGAGGAATGTTGCATGGGTAAGAAGTACGCATGTTATTTATGCTGACGACTGGGTCTAACTGGCACATTCCGAAGCGGAATTGCAGCGAAAAACGACAGTGTCTGAGTCTGCAACAAAAAGTATCCCTATGTAATAATAATAATTGTCCAGCTGCGACCGTTTCAGTGTCTAACTGCCATAACAACCGAAGGAAGCAAGAGGGATGAGAATCTGCCAGGGTGCCCAAGCCTAGACAGGAATATTTCAAAAAACACTTCGCATTTTTCGGAGTGTTACTGGTGAGCATCGAAATTTATCACACGGAATTTAACCGTGGTGGGAAAGCGTGTCGTTCCCAATTCTGCTATCAAGACAGCACTATAACTAGCGACCGAAAGGTCGATAGAAAGCTGAACTCGTGAATATCTGTGGCTATGTTCAGATCCAGAAAACTTCAGAAACGTGTCTGTAACAATCAGTATTTGGTAGCAGGCAAAATTTGCGGCGTACCGAATAACATAGTCCCTACTTCCAAGCAATCGTGAGACATGGACAATAACCGCTGTGGCGAGGTGGCTCAGTGGTTCAAGCGCGAATTTACTGGCCGGGAAGTGTGGTTCGAAACCGACTTCTGCATATCGACTTTCCCCGTCTAGGGTTGGGCAACATGGCAATATCCTACTCGCTGTCGTGTCTGAATCGTTCGTAGGATGTCCGTGAAGGACTGTGAGCATAATCGGTTAAAACGGATCCGAAAATTGCTTTCCAGAAAGCGGAAATATGCTGGTTCGAGAGCATAACCAGCTGCGCTTGTTAGGCCATGTGGGGCGCGTGGGAATGGATTGTATTACTCATTGACTGTTGTAATGGCAACTGAAACTGAGGTCGAGATAAACGAAACGTGTGCAAATAGACTTCAGGAAAATTAGCTCTGACTTTGGATCACACGAAAATCCAGAGCCGGATAGAAGCACTTGGCGAAAAGCCAAGTGTATTTGTATTCTCCGACTTCCGGACGCGTGAGAGTAGACAAAAAGTTCTCCAAATACTTCCGTACACAGAGTGGTGTCCGTCAGGGATGCCCACTTTCTCCATTCTTGTTTAATTTCGTGGTCGATGAAACAATCGCACGAGTGCTGAAAGATCTTCAGAACCCCAGTATTCACATATCCTCTGACGAAAACCTTGTCGATCAGGAATATGCAAACGGCAGCGTTCTCGTCTTCTAAGAGAAGGCGGTGGATGATGTGACCAAAGTCGTCCCACCCTTTGGTATGCACTTTGCACCCACAAAGTGTAAGGTTATGCTCTCGGAAATGCAGTCACTGGACAAGTCACTTACAATCCAGGGAGAGGTACTGGAAATCGTGGAGCGTTTTACATACCTTGGGGGTTGTATTAGTTCTGATTTTAGTGTGACAGATGAGGTCAACGCACGAATCTGCAAGGCTCGGTTCAAATTTGGTCATTTGAGACACCTATGGCATCAAAAGCGGCATTTCCTGAATCTCAAGGGGTGTGTGTATCAGGCTACCGTATGCGCTGTTTTGCTGTATGGCTGAGAATTAGCCTGTTCGAGCAGCGGAACTGAGACGTCTTCAGGTGTTCGACAATTTTTATCTTAGGACCATAGCTCGTGTGGGCTGATGTCGGAGAATCCGCAACCAAATAATTGGAAATCGAATTTTCGGATGTGCAAGCAGGAAATTCGATTGACGAATGTGTCCATTACCAGAATCTGCGTTGGTTAGGCCATGTGTTGCGCATGCCGAGCCCTCATTTGCCGTAGAGTGCTGTTTTTCGTGCCCAACTCAGAGTGGTAGAAGCAGAGAGGTAGCCGACCCTTGACCAGGTAGAGGGGTATGGAGAAGATTACGAAACGTTCGGGTTATCGGCTCTACTCGCCTACCAGTATAGGGACCGGGTGATCCCCACTGCACCTGGAAGGAAACATTGCAAGATATGGCTGCCAATCGATGTCAGTGGCGTCCTTGTTATAAGTTGCTATCCAGATCGCCTGCATGAGTAGGCACCTCGGTATAATTGTAGTAAGGCCATTCCCCATCCACCTTTATCCTTTTTTTCGCAATAAGACATTCAAATGAATCATGGTTATACGGCAGCGAAGCATCCGTTTTGAACTCTGACGTCATGCTGTCCATGATGATGATGACCACGCTGAGACCAGTCGCTGTACAGAAAAACGCATTGGGTGTAGCCGCCCACTTGGCTCATTCGAGTTTACATAGGCCACAATAGGATATTCGGGTACGCGCGAAAAGCTTTTCGTTGATTATGCGCAGGCGTTGACAGATGTACTCGTAACTGGGGCAAGCCAACCATATGCAGCAATTTCTGCATAGTAAGCCCCAAGACGTTAGAAATTTTTCAAACTCCGCCGTACCCTTGCAGAACGCAAATATCTGCGCAAGTGCAAAGAACTTGAGGATATCACCAACCACGGCGGAAATGCTGCTGAGCTCAAGCTAAAGGAGGCCTAGGACATGCAACAAGACAGGACGGGATGAAACAACCTGAAAGATCCAGAATCACAAGAATGCGATAGCATTTTATACCGGTGGCCCTAACTCCCTATCTGTCAGCAGATTACGAGTTGCTGAATACCAACGTTCCAGGTAAGCGTACCTTAGGGAACGGCTGAAGACCGCTTGATTGGGAATAGGGGGGCTGGGCCCACAGCCCACAGGTCCACCGGGGCTAGTGGTTTGTATCTGGCCGTTGGATGAGGAAAGTGGAGAATCCACTGCATTGGTGCTCGAAGGTAACCGGGGTTTGATATGCTCAGCCCGGTTCCCTTTGGACTTTTCGGAATCAAGCTTATGCTGAAGCCTATTTTTTGCTTTGGAGGACTGGCGCTTGCACATATTCAGTTCTTTAGTTTGCTGCTTCTTGGTTCCATCCTCCAGCTGTACCATCCTTTCTTTCGCCATTGAGAAACTATCCTCCTTGGCGTTCACCGTGATTCTGGTGCTCGCCGTCCCGAGAGAAAATATTTTTCCACTAAAAATTATTGTTACGGAAAAACGAAGTACTTGTTGATTCGTAAACACTCCGTAGATCCATCGGTTGCACCAGTGAGGTTGCTCAAAGTAAACGTAAATGTATTTGAGCGGCCCTGCAGCGGCAATATGAAGCACTACATGGATAAATCAGGCCACTTTAACTTATCAGGATACCTTCTGTTTATCAGTGACAGATAGTTTGAATGATTGCGCCCCCTAAAATGGGAACGAGTTGCGTGGACGACACAACCAAACCTACGAGTGTTGCAGCCAGTCGCTCGAATCCACGCAGAGCGGAATCCGTCAGACGAAATTGGATGAGTTCGCAATCTTCGTATGCAGGGTCCTCGAAAATAGGAGCACCGTTTTTAAGGTAAGCAAGGGACATGACGGCATCAAGGAGATAATGTACCCGCAGCCAGAGACCGCGAGACTCAACAGGGGTCAAAATTGATACATTAAAACGAAAGGCGTCCACACGCACCTAAGCTGGGAAAAATAGACGGATTTGCATGATAACTGCCATACTTATGCTTTTCATTGAAATTTATTTATAATACACTGTTTAGACAAAACATCTGTATGTTGCACGAATTTTCATCCGGCAGCAGTGTTTCCCCGAACTCAACAGTCAAATCCAGTTTGCCTGTCAAGGGAAGTTCGGAGGGCGAGCGGCTCAGCAAAACGACCCTTCCAGCATTTCGCACCATGAGGGTGTCGTGCCTTAACAGTGATTACTCAGGTCTGCTGTACTTTTCGTTCTTGTTGCTTATTTTAATTCTGCACATATTTGAGTACCTGTCGGGAATTCACGGATTCACGGATTGATACCTTCCAGCATTACCATGAGGGTGTCGTGCCTTAACAGTGATTACTCAGGTCTGCTGTACTTTTCGTTCTTGTTGCTTATTTTAATTCTGCATGCATTTGAGTACCTGTCGGGAATTCACGGATTCACGGATTGATACACAGGATCGAGGCTTTTGCCCAAGTTTCCCGGGTCGGTTTTGTTCTTGTCGGTCAGTGGCTGTCGTTCACCTGAAAGGCACAAGTGAAAAAAGGGTGTAGCACTGCTCTTTATGTTCTCAGCGCGGGGCAGAATGCTTGCCAGCGCGGGTACTAGATGGAACGTTGGAGGAGGTTTATTCCACTACATTAAGTGAAAGGGTTGCTGAATAATAAAACCGTGCACTCTGGGCTTGCAAATCTTCTTACCATAATTCCGCTTTGTGTTTTGTCACCGGCAAGAGGCCTGTTAGCCAAATCCTGTTGAAACAGGGTGCAAGTAAGTTTTGGGTCTCATCGAAGGCCACGGTACTCCAGAAGGAACAAGCCCAGCACCGCAAGAAGCCTTTCCTAATCAAAGAATTTAAAGTTGGTAGCCATTTTCGTGGCAGCTCACTGGACACTCACAATTATTGTCACGCCTTCCTTGCGTTCTTAGTAGAAAACTTAGTCGGTGTATTCAGAAAATAGTCTGACATGGGCCACACAGGCCTCCACGCAGGGGCACGGAGTCAAACAAACTCCAGAAGTCCATGGACATGTGACACTAACACTGCGGAGAAAACACGTGCCCCCGTTCGGTCTTTCACCCAAGAACACACCGGTTATCCACACACGATGACCTACCTTTTGACTTATTTCATTGTCCTCACTGTACTTATTTATCTTGGTGTAACTAGCCACTGTAAGCTGCCAGCCACCGTAGTGTTCGTGCATATACCTTCCGAGTTGTGTCATGGTTTTCATACCTAATACTTGGAGCGGGACTTATGCGACCTGATCAAATGCCTTTGAGAAGTCCAAACATGGCATCCGGTATGATTCCCTCGTTCTAAGCTTGGGTTAAGTCGCCCATAAACATGAGCGCGGTAGCCACGCAATAACGGTTTTAGAGGAATTCTTGTCGAACTGGAGGAATCAAACCTTTGGCGGTGAGTTATTTCAAGATGGGTGAGAGTCTCGGTTTCTAGCCGGCTTACTGAGCATAAACATTCCAAGGTACTTGAGACTATTTTGCACCGTTCACTGTTTCCGGTTTCCTCTGACTAATCTTGTCCGTACTTCATTTGATTTAACATATACACCAACCGCGGCACCGACACTGCAGTTCCATGGCATTGTTTCATAGCGGTCAGTCCCACCAACCGCACATGCACTTCATCTGAGTTGTCAGTCAAATAGGTGTTCGTGCCGCGGTGGTACTTTGCCCATATTCTCGGGCATTCGTTGCAATAAGCGGTCGCATTACGTCATGCTGCTACTGGAATGACTTGAATAATGGGTCAAGAAATTGTAACTAAAAGTGCCACGTAATGCGCTCACACTTACTCCGAGATATCTGGATTCAACTAGTTTCGCTTTATACCATCGACGTATAAAAAATGACATGGACCGCCTGAGCTGATTTGAATGATTGCACCATAAGTGCTTTGCACGAATTTTCTGGTGTCAACTACAGCATCTGGTAAACCGATGGGCTTTGAGCCGCACTTATCCCATACGGTCATCTTCATTTTTCCCGTAATAATTTCCCTTATACTGACAGATAAATTATCTGCATTTGAATTATATACGCCTATAACTCATTGAAAACGCGACGTATTGCCCGTATGTAAATAAGCTAATCAGAACGCCGGCTTCTCTAGTTACCATGTGGCATGTGTTGTTACATCTTATCGTCTACCACATATAGGCGCCACTTCTTCGCTTTGGGCCTCAAGTTTTGGTTGTGTCCTTAATTGTCTCAAGTAGATAATAAATGTTCTGCTGTTCTTGGTTGATTTAGTTTTCAGCGCAAACGACCGCTATCTTTTCCTAATTGAGCGCAGAACTAAGTTCAGTTGGGGGCTGTCCAACAGTCTATTGTGTTTGACTGCTGTATCGCCTGAAGATTTCTCCTTCCGCTTACCCATAGGTTTTAAGAGTAGCTTAAAACACACCTTTGACAATTATATATTGAATTTCAACAGATTTACGCGGGGTTGTCTTAAACAAGTCCTAAACTGGTCCCCAATAATCCATGTAGGTATTTCTTTTAACTAATGGAATTGGAGTATCTGGATGCAGCTCGAGCAACCCAGTACAGCATCATATTTCACCGCCCTTCAGAGTAGTTGCACGTGGCTTTTATGCTTGCTCGTCGTAAACTTTTATTTGCGCATTAAAAATATCACCCAGAGATTTTTACTTGCAACTTAGCACAAACGTAAGCTCATTTATACCTCAGAACTCGGTACAGAAGCGTGAAGAATCGTTGGAGGATGTTACAGAGTTCTACTCTTTTTGTATCAAGAGTAGCTGAGGACAGGTTGGCTGGTTCCAGTTTTATCTTGGTCACAACGTATGGCTAGACTGGCCTCTGTCACCTATGTTTTACTGTCGTCGATATCTTGATGCCCAACATGTTTAGATCGCATCGTCTAAATCGTACCAGTCTGGCGCAGTCCCACTTGTGCGATATCCCGCATGTTCTCTACATCTGGTTCACTGCCATGCACATTCATTGGTCAAACTATCACCTATTGTACTGTACCTCCAGCTGTGATACTGAGATTCTGCCATCCTCATGCTGGGAATAGTCGCCAGTGTTCAGTTGGCAAGGAGGTCTGGCGGGGTATGTTATATACGGGTCTGTCCTGGCGGACAGTTTGGTTCAAAGGAGCGCATATATCGTGGTTTAACTACGTGGGGTAGATGGTGAGTGGGCGTCAATGAAGTAAGCGCGGGATGGGTCTCGGTAGAAGCTGCCAGAGGGAATGAGTGTTTGCTTGGAATCTAAGTGTGTACTAATCGGGGATGGCGAACCTGAATTTTCCTCACAGACTCGGCAACAGAGTGAGGGCTCCGGTGGTTAACATGTACAAACAACCATAGATTCACGGTCGTTTGCGAATAAAACCGTTTCAGTGGACAGTGTAACTTAGGAGTTCGATTTCAGAATGACCGGCAGAGCTGAACTGCCAGCTGCTCCTGATCCTACTGAACGAAGCTGGAGTTTTGCACAATTACATTTTTATCTACTTGTGGCGTCAACTCGGGCCGGTGTATTGCTCAAGACAAAGTGCATTGAGAGGGGCTCAGGCCTGGCAGATGCTACTTGGCTCAGGGCTACATTTCCGCTAAGTGAGCTTTGAGGTGAAAATTCATCACACGCATTTCAGGACAAAGGAAAGTAGGAAACAATATCCCATTACGAACATTTACAGTTCTGTGGTTTGAACTTGGCCGACTAGAGATGGCTGGAGCGAACCTACCGACATATTTTGGAATAGACCGGATGGGCTGGAAAGGATTCCTCATCAGAGCGGATAAATTTCCAGGTGTAGAATTAGACAAAAGGTTCTTTGTGGTGTAAATCTCATAAGGTGGGCGTGGGTTACGTGATTCAGGATTCGGTAGACATGAACAGGACCAGGTTGGGCAGATTTCATTGTCGTACAGTGCAGCGGAGCTTCCATGATACCATTAGTAAGAAACGTAGCAATTAAGACAGCTGGCCACATCGAAACCACAGTCGCGACGTGGAAGGCAGTCAGGATTTTGGCGCATCTACTCCTTGAGCAAAACCTTGGTTGTACGTGATTGGAAATCTACTAGATCTGCTTCGTGTGTCTTAAATCCCTGACAACATGAAACAAGATGACGACAAATTGAAGCACTCAGTCGCCGTATAATTGTTGTTATAGGTACAGTGTTAATGAACACGTTCCGTCGGAAGCCCACTTCCTAACAGGCGGAGGACCAAAGGCTTCCAAGGCTTTTCTTTGAATTCGGCGTCAAAGCGAAGTTGCCCCTGCCCGAAATTCATGGTCTCTTTTAACGTCGCGCAGTGTTAATGATTTGAGTCTAAAAGTATAGAACCTACCAATGCCAATTTACGGATATACAAAAACATTTCTGGTTTATAACTTTCCAATATTATCGGGCTACCACAACGTCTACTAGTGGTAAAACATATTTTGGCAGACATCAGATAGCATTT